GCTTGAGAGCCAGGGCTGGAGGGCATTCCTCCCTCCTAGTGCTTCTTGACCTCCCAGCGGCCTTCGATCCCATCAACCATGGTATCCTTCTGCGACGGTTACGAGAGGTGGGAGTGGGTGGCACCATTTTTCGGTGATGTTTGCCGTCCTGAGTCCCTCCCGGAAAAGGGCGGCATACAAATAAAATAAATCTAAATCTAAATCTAAATCTAAATCTCTGCTCTGACAGAAAAAGAAAAAAAAAGGTCAAAATTTTTCATTACCGTCACAACTGTAAATGGATACTCTCCATGGCAGTCACTAAACAATATATCATGGTTACCAAAGTGGTATTACATTATAATCCCTTTCCTCCTTTTTTCATTACTTTATAGATAATATAGTAATGTTTTATTGGGAATTACTTACGTTCACCAAAATTAGATGCCTGCTATTGCAAAATTTTGCTTACATTAAAAGGCCTTTTAAAATAATCTAGTTACACCGGTAGTACACATATTAAAAACATATTGCAGCACTCAAATGTAGTAAAATAATATTCCAAGGAGCTTGTTAAATACAATAATCTAATTCAGCCACAAAACTAAACTAGGTTGACTGATAATTGCTTGAGTAACTTGCATGCTCCCTTTCACTTCAAGAATATTTTCTTTTTTTTTCTTATGTACAAAACTGAAATGTATGGTAACTAAGCAGAACTAAGGTTCAAAGCAGGACTGGGAGACCTGAAGAACACTACAAATATAATTTCAGATACACCTTCAGGATATAAGTTCCCACTTTCACTGTACAGAAAAAAACTAGGATCTTTTCCATATAGAATAGAGATAATACAATTTTATGATTTACTCGGCTTGAGGAGTGATTTACACATATAGTTTCTGTTTCTACCTAACCACATACAGAAGAGGGAATTTATGAGCTTAATAACAGCTTAAGGCTACAGAATTACTTCCTTTTGGTCTCTTTAAAGTAACAGGGCAATCTATAATTTAAAAGGACAAATATTATTTAAATGTTCAGGCACGATAAAATATAAACACTGTGATTTTTGGAGAGACGCTATTGTGCCTAACAGCTACAGATTTCAGAAAGATCTGAGCACATAATTTTCAAATGTGCCAAACATTTGAAAACTGGGAAGTGAAAATGAACATTTGAAAATGGGGAGCCCATCAAATTTGCAGATGACACCAAGCTGGNGATTTTACAGTATCCTTCCCCTGCCATGCCCACCAAGCCACGCCCACAGAACCAGTAGTAAAATCATTTGAATCCCACCACTGATGCTCACTAATACAAATTGGTAGTAGTGAACATAGTGACTCATGGACCTAACAAAAGATACCTTGGGGAAGGGAAGGTGGGATTGTCTCCCTAACTGGAGCAAAACCAGTTATGGGAAGACCTCCCCAGTCTTACATGGGATGCTTATCCAGGCAGCATCCCATCCAAGAAGAGAGCAGATAGCAAATGAAAGAGGAGAGCCAAGCTACTTTCAACCCCAGTGCAATGTCTGTCTCCAACTCCATCTTTTGTTAGAGATGACCAGGAAGGGCAGACTAGATGTCTCACAGATAGCCAAAACTTGACCAGGCTTGCAATCTCAGAAGGTCAAAGATGTCACTAAAGTCAATCCTTGTTTATTAGCTTTTGTCGAGACCCAAGAAAGCACAAGGAACAAGAATCTTCCTGATACGTCAACTTCAGTGCTGAAATTTCATACCCGAGAATCCAAGGATGCAGAACCAACAATACTTCCATCTGTTGGTAGTACTGACTCTCATTTTAGGGGCAGGGATAACAAGACTTCTGCAGGACAACGCGTTGCCTTAATGTGTTGGTATGCTCCAACAAAGCCCTTGATGGTGTGGGATCACCAGTAATGGTATCCTCTTATCTTCACTACTGGTTCAGAGTTGGGAGAGATCGCAGGGCACTACTGCGCATGCACAGTATCTTCTGTGCATGGGCAGAGTGTCCATGATGACGTCTGGGTGGGTGGGCAGAGCCTCCTGCCGCTGCCACCGCTACTGGTTTGCCTGAACCGGGGCTAACTGGCAGAATACCACCTCTGGGTCCACGATATCTGAGGAATCATCTTGTCCTAGTGGCAGAGGTGAAATTCAGCAGGTTCTGGAGAACCGGTAGCGGAAATATTGAGTAGTTCGGAGAAGTGGCAAATACCACCTCTAACTGGCCCCAGAGTTGGGTGGGAATTTTGAAGTATCCTTCCCCCAGGAGTGGGGTGGGAATGGGGATTTTGCATTATTATAAGACCACTTCCCCCCTGTCAGCTCCGGCAAGCTGCCATTCAGGGGAGAAGACTGAGGAGTTGCCAAGACTCACCGTAACACCTACACAAAAGCTAAATGAGGCTGAAAATTTGTGTGCATCTTATACTCTGAATGTAGCTTTTCCGAAGCTTTTTTTCAGCCCTAATGAAGTGCTAACGAGTGAAGTGATCTTCCATGCTTTGCCTGCTTTTCTCATTGCTGCTCCAGTGCATCTTATACTCTGAATGTAGCTTTTCCGAAGCTTTTTTTCAGCCCTAATGAAGTGCTAACGAGTGAAGTGATCTTCCATGCTTTGCCTGCTTTTCTCATTGCTGCTCCAGTGCATCTTATACTCTGAATGTAGCTTTTCCGAAGCTTTTTTTCAGCCCTAATGAAGTGCTAACGAGTGAAGTGATCTTCCATGCTTTGCCTGCTTTTCTCATTGCTGCTCCAGTGCATCTTATACTCTGAAAAATACGGTATTTTTCTTCTCTGGTGTTTCTACATTTCTGAATTTCTCACGGTCAAACCCAGCTCTTCTT